TCCTCGTATGCTAGGGGTTATCTGATATTGTTATTGATTGTGTGAGCGAGAATTGATTGAGAGATTAATTGATCACGAGTGACTATCGCTTGGTTGCATGTTCCCAAACTTATGAGTGTCTTCTTTCTATCTCGGGTCTAGGAGTACCTTGTTTTTTTTTTCTCTCTTTATTTTCCTTTTTATTGCAATTTGAGGTGTTGCTTGCTAGTTAATGTTGAATCTTGCTTTCGTTTAGTTTAAAATTGCCATCTTTAGCTTATCCGAACCCCCATATTGCGAGTAGAGTGTTTAGAATTTTTATTTTATTTTCTTGTGCGAGTCAATCGTTGTTTGAATCCGTGTCCGAATAGCCTTCCTTTGAGAACGACCCGAGTCCGGGTAACTCGGTTACCAACTACCCAAAAACACTACAAACATAGAGAATCTAGCTGATTAATTTTAATGCTATATAGTCTTATTATATTGAGCAACTTAAAAATAGTTCTTATAATCTTACCCTTAATTAGGTAATTTCTTGATGTTTTCCTAATTGAATAAGGGATTAACAATTAATCTATTTTATTCATGGCACCAAGTGGAATTAGAGCTATTAATGAACGAACATTCGTGAACAAAATCTTGTTCGCGAGCTGGTCTATTTGCTAACCAAGCCGAATTCAGACAAAAATCAAGTTTGTTAAATAGTTGAACGAGTACGTGAAAGTTCGATAATGTTCAAGGGTATTAATCTATTATAGTTTTATTTTATTTTTAGATTTATTTGTTTGATATATTTAATAAAAAATCAGAACATGAAATATTTATATTATATTATTTTTTCTAGTGCTCAAACGAGTTCGGACAAAAAAAAATACTCGAGTTAATCAACAATTTTAAAAAGTTTCTTCACTAAATTATTACTCGAACAAGAACAAACTCAAATTTCAATGAACCATTAAGTGAACGAGCTCAAACACGATTTTTTGATCAAAAAATAAACATACAAACACAAACATTCGAACATAATCGAACACGAGCTAGAAATACCAAACTTTTCTTGTTCGATTTGATTGCAATACTAATAAAGTGGAATAATCATAAAAGGTATGAGTGGTACGTAGATTACTCTAGCACCAATGAACTTTATTATTAATATTTTTTTTTTTATAAATTCTTGTGTAAATAAGTTCATCATTAAGCGGGTCGACCCATTACATGAACAAATTACATACTTTATAAAATAAAATAACTATCACACAAAATTAAGAACTACAACACAAATAAATCGTCATGTCAATTGTCATAGTGAGTGAAAAGAAAAATGAAAACTACGTTTCTTGCAAAATTTGCAGTCCTTAGTGGTAAGTGACCTCAAACACTCATGTCGGCTGGAAATCGTTTTTCCTTCCTATTCCTTATTGGTAGAACGCCGCGTACCTGAAAAGAACTCTCGGCAGGTTTTTCGGTGAAGAGTCTCCGATGCTTAAGTCAGTGTTTACTCCATTCTCGAGAGTAAAAATGAATAAATCGTCTCTAGGAAGTAAAGTTGACCCATATATATATATAGTGGTAAGATACATGCCCTATAATGGAAAATGCTTACTGCCATAATTATTAAAGAAAGAAACAAAACAAGGAATTCTTTTTCTATATCATATGTTTCAATAAAAGCTTACAGAATAAAAGAAGCTGCCCAGGTTGCTATTTAAAGACCTAGTCTAGGGCTACATAAATGATCCAACGGTAACTACTAAGATCAATGGCTAAGAAACAATCAAAAAGTATCTCAGCTTGAGCATGACAGCACATGCATGCTGTCATGCAAGGACAAAAGGGGAGCAGGTGAAAAACCGTGCTAATGAGGGTAAAAAAGAGGTAACAAACTTATGGGCCGTTCTCTTTGTTTTCCTTGTGGGCTTTAGTTTTGAACTTGTCTTGTTGGGCTTTGGTATTATGGCTTTCACCCCCCCGCAATTCGAGCATAGGTGAGGGTAGAACATGCAGACGTGCCCGAAGCTTGGTGAAGAATTGTTTGGAGAGTGGTTTAGTAAAAATATCGGCTAGTTGGTATTGAGAAGGTACGTGTTGCACTTTTATGTTCCCTTTTTGAACCAAGTCTCTAATGAAATGAAGATCTATCTCTAAGTGCTTCATTCTCGAATGATTAACAGGATTGTGAGCTAGGGAAACAACACCGAGATTATCTATCCATATGGTTGGAGATGAGGCAGAAGAAAAATGTAGCTCAGCTAAAATGGATTGTAGCCATAAAATATCACACGTGGCCTTTGCTAAGCTGCGGTACTCAGCCTCTGTGCTACTTCGAGAAACAGTAGATTGTTTCCTGGAGCTCCAACTGATCAAATTGTTGTTCAAAAATACACAGAACCCTGAAACTGATCGCCTATCATCTGGATCAGTTGCCCAATCGGCATCAGCAAATGCAATAATACGAGGAGAGAGACATCTATAAAGCTGCAAGCCATGATTTAAAGTGCCAGCTAGATATCTGAAAATTTTTCTCATAGCTTTTAATGAGTATCTAGTGGACAATGCATGAATTGGCTAAGCTTGTTTACACTAAAGGCAAGTCCAGGTCGAGTGATTGTGACATATTGAAGACCTCCAACCATACTTCTATATAAGGTCACCTCATCAATGGGAGAGCCACTTGATTTTGAGAGAGTAGGATGAGTGTTCATTGGTGTAGTGGATCCTTTTGCAGCTTGCATGCCAATTTTAACCAACAACTCCTGAATATACTTTCTTTGAGAAAGGAAAAGTCCTTCTTGAGTGTGAGTGAACTGCACTCCTAAAAAATAGTTAAGTTGTCCCAAGTCTCTAACTGGAAAGTGAGACTGCAGCTTGAGAACAAGATTGTTAATAATCTCTTGGGAAGAACCAGTGACTATGATGTCATCAACATAAGCCATAAGAATGACAGTGGAAGTTGCTGAATGCTTAAAGAAGAGACATGTATCAGATTTAGAAGAATGAAAGCCCAAGGAAAAGAGCACTGAGGCAAGTTTGTGAGACCAAGCCCTTGAAGCCTGTTTCAGGCCATATAGGGTCTTCTTGAGCTTGCAAACTAAGGTAGGATCGGCTGTATTCTCAAAACCAGGAGGCTGAGCCATAAAAAGGTCAATGTCAAGATCACCATTTAAAAAAGCATTGGCTACATCAAGCTGTCTAAGAGGCCAAGACTTTGAAAGAGCTAAGGTTAAGACAACTCTTATAGTGGATGGTCTAACCACAGCACTAAAAGTGTCTGTGTAATCAAAACCTGGGGTTTGAGAGTATCCTTTTGCAACAAGTCGTGCTTTATATTTATCCAGGGAACCATCAGCATTGAGTTTGGTCTTAAAGACCCATTTGCAACCAATTAACTGTTTGTTGGGAGGCATAGATGTTAAGGTCCATGTACCATTTTTATGAAGAGCCTGAAGTTCTTCTAGCATGGCTTGCTTCCAAAATGGGACAGCAAGAGCCTCTTTAACACTTTTTGGTTCTGATAGGATAGAATCAGAAATGATAAGAACTTTGGGCTTAAAAATGCCTGCTTTGGATCTAGTGGTCATTGGATGAGCACCTGCAACTTGATTGTGAGGGTTAGTAATAGAAATAGGAGAATTATCAATTGGTAAATCTATAATAAGTCGACCACCATGATCTAAAGGATTATGGGGAGAAGAAGCTGAAGATGGAGATAAAGGTGAAGGAGATGAAGAAGAAGAAGGTAAAGTGGGGATATGATTTGATGTATCTGTATGAGGGGAAGCATTTTGTGGAGGATCTGCATGAATAGGAGCAGAAGATGGATGATTAGATAGAATTGGAGGTGAGGAGATAGGATCGAAAGATGGAATATGTGCAGAAATAGGGGCTGTATGGTTTTGAGTGTGAAGAAAAGGAAAAATTTTTTCATTGAAGGTAACATGTCTAGTGATCAGGAGCTTTTTGTTGGGTAAAAGGACTTTGTACCCTTTTTGAGATGGACTGTATCCCAGAAAAGTTCCAGGAGTGCTTTTGAAGTCTAACTTAGAGGCATTATATGGTTTCATGTAAGGGAAGCATTGGCAACCAAAAACTTTTAGGGATTTATAGTCAGGTTTGGTAGCATGCAAAAGTTCAAAGGGAGAGATAAATTTAAGGACTTTTGAGGGAATTCTGTTTATAAGAAAGGTGGCAGTTATAAAAGCTGAATCCCAATGGATCTTAGGCACATTAGACTGAGCAAGAAGGGACAACCCAACCTCTACTATATGTCTATGCTTTCTCTCAGCCAATCCATTTTGCTCTGGGGTATAAGGGCAGGACATTCTATGTTTAATTCCCTCTTGGGAAAAAAAATTAGTAAGGGCTAAAAACTCTCCACCACCATCATTTTGAACACATTTTATTTTCAGCTTATGTTGAACTTCAACAAGTTTGTGAAAGTGAATAAAAGCTTGGCTAGTATCTGACTTGTTCTTCAACAGATAAATCCAACTATATCTAGTGGCATGATCTATAAAATTTACATAATATCTAAAGCCACTGAAAGATTTCAAGGGAGCTGGGCCCCAAAGATCAGTATGGACAAGCTCAAAAGGTGCACAATGATAATCAGAAGCATAAAATGGTAATTTGTGAAACTTAGTTTGCAAGCAAGGAACACATGGTAATTTCTCATAGTTCAAACTGAAAAGAATATTACAATCATTGAGGGCTTTCTTAACAATGTCAAAAGCAGGATGGCCTAACCTATCATGCCACAATTTCAAGGTTTCTTCCTTTTCAGTGACTAGAGAATTAACAGACAAAGTACTTTTATTTCTGACAGCTTCATTCTCTTGGACAGAAGGTGAAGGCTGAATTTTCTTGGAAAGATTGTTGAAAGAGTTCTTGGAAAGGTTGAATTTGTATAGGCCATGATCAAGGGTTCCTTGAAGGAGGATCTTGCCTGTGGATGGTTCCTTCACAAAACAAACAAAAGGATGAAACTCAAAGTATACTTTATTATCCAAAGCAAATTGACTAACACTGATAAGATTTTTTGTGATTTCAGGGACATGGAGAAGATTTTTTAGGATGAAAAGATCATTAGATGGTGACTTAAGTACAGAATTTCCAAAATGAGATATATTCAAACCTGTTCCATTACCAACTTGAACCCTCTCTCTACCTTGATATTCTGCTGCAGAGTTGAGATTAGCTAGATCATATGTCACATGGCTTGTTGCTCCTGAGTCTGGGTACCAGTTGCTCCCATCACATGAACTTTGAAAATCACTTTCCATCTGTGTGACATTAACATTGGGACCATTTCCTTGAGACTGATTTGAACTGTGGTTGTTGTAGTTGCTTCTGTCCCTTGGAGTGAAAGTGAGGTCAGCTCTGTAGTAGCATCTTTCTGCAGTGTGGTTAGTATAATGGCATATTTGGCATCTTTGCTTGCCATTATCAAAGCCTCTTCCTCTACTTCTGGAACCAAATCTTCCTCTACCCCTTTGATTCTGAAAGGCACCTCTTCCTCTTCCTCTAAAACCTCCACGGTTTCCTTGACCTTGAGTTACAACATTCACAGAAAAGTTGCCTTGCTCATTGTTAGCACTGTTTTGGCTTTCAGATCCTTCAAGTCTAGCCTCAAAGCTCAGCAAAACCGAATAAGCTTCCATGACAGTGCAAGGTGGATATTTTGTAGACAAGGAGACTAGGACTGGATTATATTCTTGAGGAAGGCCTGCTAAAATATATAGCATATGATCTCTGTCTTGAACTTTTTCACCTGCTGAACCCAACAAGTCACAGCAAGTCTTGATCTTGTTGAGATAATCCTTCATGGAGGAGCCTTCTTTCTTGATGGTTTGAAGTTGGAGCCTGTACTGCAAGATCTTGGCATGGCTTTGGCTGGCAAAGGTAGATTCAAGACATTCCCATATTTCTTTGGATGTTGTTAGACCCACGGTGGTAACTAGTACACTTTCTGTAACCGAGGATAATAACCAAGAGGCCAAGAGCTGATCTTGCCTCATCCATAAGAGAAAAGCTGGGTTGATGGATCTTTCTTGAGTGGTTGGATCTGAGATGAATTCCTCTGGTATTCTTTGACTCCCAGTGATGAAATGTTCCAATCCATAGCCTCTGATGGCTGCTAGAACTTGTTGTTTCCAAAGGAGGTGATTTGACTCTCCTAACTTAACACTAATGAGCTGAGACTGAAGAAATAAGGGTTGTTGTTCATTGCTCGTTTGTAGTGGAGTGATAGAATTAGCCATTGGTTAAAGATAAAGGAAATAAAGAAAAAAATGAAGGATCAGAGACAGGTCTTTCAACCTGCTCTGATACCATAATGAAAAATGCTTACTGCCATAATTATTAAAGAAAGAAACAAAACAAGGAATTCCTTTTCTATATCATATGTTTCAATAAAAGCTTACAGAATAAAAGAAGCTGCCCAGGTTGCTATTTAAAGACCTAGTCTAGGGCTACATAAATGATCCAACGGTAACTACTAAGATCAATGGCTAAGAAACAATCAAAAAGTATCTCAGCTTGAGCATGACAGCACATGCATGCTGTCATGCAAGGACAAAAGGGGAGCAGGTGAAAAACCGTGCTAATGAGGGTAAAAAAGAGGTAACAAACTTATGGGCCGTTCTCTTTGTTTTCCTTGTGGGCTTTAGTTTTGAACTTGTCTTGTTGGGCTTTGGTATTATGGCTTTCACCCTAGAGCTGCTCGGGAAGCTGAGCTGGCGGCCCAAAAGCTGCCTGGCCTGCCTGTCCGTACATACACAATATGCGTGTGTCAAAAATAGTTATCACCATAGACCAATACAATCGCGCCGCGTGTCCTCCGCACATTGAGTAAAGATTCCTCTGTGTTCTCTTCGAAGGCTCTTGTGCTCGACCGTATCTAGGTCGATTCTCTAACTGCTCTCCTTCTGCGAAGTGGTCGATCAAATGATTGCTCGATAGGTCGATCTTCGACCAGGCCCTCCAGGGTCTTGAGATCGATCTGTTCTCCTCTCACTGGAGTTCCCCATACACTGTCCTCGTGGTATCCAACCACGACCATTCTGCTCGATTTTGTCCGGCCGAGACGGCCTATCCAATTTACTTAACTCGTTCAACGGGCCTAGCGAACCAGTTTACTTCTTTGGATATAATATCCTATGTCTGTTAGAAACTGTCAGACTAAAATAATGGTCCAACTATTATTAATATATCATATTTTCCAGTCTGATTGATTAATTAGTTTTCAATTAGTCATATAGTTCTTTTATTCTTAGACCACATAAACATTAATGCACTGTTTTGTTAGTTTAGGTGACGAAGTGTTAGATAATTGCAGATAATTTGTTCCAATTTGCCGGGTGGTATGTGAAAGAAAATTAACCGACACAAACAGAATTATGTGCTGTCTAATATTGTGTTGAAGCATCAACAAATTCAAATATTGGACTATATATATATATATATATATATATATATATATTCCACTTTGCAATCTATTAATTAAATAAAATATCTAACCGATCATATTATTTAAATTCAAAAGGATTGGCCCCATAAAATAGAATGACCAATAGACTGTTTGAAACAAAATCTACTTACATTGCAACATAATATACTAATAAAAACTTTCACTTTGTAAATAATTAATTAAAGATTGCAAAAATTATATAATTGTAATCGATCGCAAAATTAATATGTAAGTTAATAGTTTATGTTCATACCATTCATTTTTACTAACAATAAATTTATAAAATGCGATATACTATTATCTAACTAATGATTTAAATATAACAAACACATACATATAACATAAAATTTTATTTGCATCTGTGCATGTTTACATAATCGAATGCTAGTTTATTAAAACTTGAGAATTGACGGTGAACGATTTTGCTATGGAGTTATCCATAGTTATTAATAAATAGCATATTTTCACGTGTCCTGCATTAAATACACATTAGATACATGTCAATCCATAAAATTACGAATGACTCCATATAATTTCTGTGACCGTGAAATATTTACAGTCTTATAGTTCGATATTTTTTTAATAAAGGGATAGGAAGTAAGAATAACTTCTTTTTTTAAAACAATATAATCATAATGCACGATTACATTTATCCTATATGTTTAATTTAATTCAATTAAGCAATATAAGAAAAAAAAATAATAATTATTTTCATTGATTTTATTGAAATATGATATTTCCACGGATATAAAAGGGCCACGTCTTACAAATGCTTAATTGGGGAGGTTCACTGTCTCCAACAAAAGCATGTACATATTTTCCAGAAAGGTACTCAAATAGAGACAAAATATTAATTAAAAAAACAAAATAATAGGACAAATACAAAATAAAATAAATAATAAATAAATAAAAATTAAAAAAGAAAAAAGAAACGTACAAAAACGTAGATGTCCATATCATGTATATTTGTGTACCACACGTGCTGGACTGAACGATCAAAGAAAAGCCCATATAATACACGGCTCTGCATATGGGTTGAGCATTTTTGTCGGGCCCTTTGGCATTTTCTTTGGGCCCCCAATTAATTCCTAGCTTGTCGAGTGGACCTAAACCCAATCTTAAACTCTCGTTGGACGGTAGGATGAGCGGGAGCCTATCGTATGGGATTTAGGCACTGTTTTAAATTCTACCTATATTGTTTTTTATCCAAAGAACGTTTCTTTATCTATTTAGATTTTTTTAAAAAGTTTACGTGAAATGCTGAAATAGCTCGTTTTCTTATGCTACTTTGTGTTATTTAATGTTTTTGTGTTATATTTCTGTAAGGACATTTAAACAATAAAACATTAAAAAAAAAAATTATATTTTTTAGAGATTAGAGTTACATTTTTAAATCACAACTAAAAATTAATCTTAAGTTTAATAGTGCAATATATATCGGTCCTTATTGTATTTGTTGGTGTTTGCCATTTAAATTTAAGAATAAAAAGTTCTGATTTAGTGGTTGGAATTAAACTATAATTAAATTAAACAAATTAATTACAATGTATATGTTTAAAATTAAATTATGATTTATCTTATTATACTTTAATTGTTTGCTTTTAATTTTTAGTATATTCAATTTATTATTTAAATATTTATTTTTTTATATTTACATTATACATTTGTAATAAATAAAGTTTAGATGTTATTTTGGGTTCATTCAAATGTAATGATAATTATTAGAATCAACCATCAAGTTTAATAAAATGCAATTATATGTATAATATTTCCATAAAAATAAATTTTCAAATAGCTTAAGCAAACGCAACGCTATTTACGTCGCAGTATAAAGTCTAAAATGCAACGCGTTATGCTATTCAAACACTAGATTTAGGTTTTGTGATCAAAATATATTGTTGATGATTTCATTAATTTTAGTAAATTCTAATTTATATTAATTTAAAGATTTTTGAAGATGTAACACATTCATAAATATATTATCTTATGTGGTCGATACATATCCATATAAATATTTTCTTCAAGAGAAAATGTAGGAAAAATTAAGACAGAATGTCGTTTATGCCATGTAGAAAGTCTAATGCAGTCATCCCATGTAAACAGACACATAACTATTAAAGTCAGCTATCTAATCTAGCCGCTTAGCCTATAGGATAATATTCTGTTTATTTTTTAATATGTTTTATTCTTTGTAATTTTTTTGAATTTTCCTACAAATAGATTAATGAGTAGGATCAAGAAAAATAGACAACATTTATAAGCTAACTCAAAATTTACGTTGGGCCAAACTTGGATTCACAAATTAAAACTTTAGGTTTGATGTGAGATATTATACCTTGAACCGGTACGGTTAGTAAGAAAGGGATAAATCGGACCAGTAAACCCAGTCAAGCAGAGTGACCGTTGATTGATACAGATTAGAGGTCGAAGCTACGCGGATTTTAGAGCGTCCGTCAAATACTCGCCTTGCAGAGCCTTGGTCGAAGCGCCAGGCGGTCGAACATGAATGGTCATAGGATCGACCATCCTTTACTCTAAGGCAACTCAACAGCCAGCCCAGATTTGGTCGATCCTCAGAGCCTCCAAGAATTCTTGGCTTTATGTGCGCAGGGACACGTGGCGTGAGCTAATTGGTCTATGCTAGTAACGGTTTCTGACACATTCTGACATATTCATGATGCGGAGCTAGTGGAGATGGTGGAGCGTACGATCGGGCAGTTGGGTCAGCCAGCTCCGCCCGCCCGGGCAGTTCCTAGGGCAGGTATATCACCCCTATATATATATATATATATAGGGGGTGATGTTTTTCATTTACAAACACAATCTCTCATACTCTTTATATTTCATCTTCTCAATACTTACTTGAGCGTTGGAGGCTCTTCACCGGAAAATTCCTCCGGTGTGAGAGTTTCGTGCAGATTTCGACGTTCTACCGACGAGGAGAGCGAGCTCAAGGTAGTCCTTAGCCGGCCTGGGGTGACAAAGTTGAAATACATTATGACTACACCATGGTTAAGAATATTAAATCAACTATATTTAATTTATTTGAAAAACATTCTATGGTACATGTTCTACATTTTTAATCCTCCTTTTAATTAAATGGGTCATGCACATTATGACAACAAAATATAAATCAAACTAAATAGTACGTTGATTAATGCATACTTTTGGTATTCATCAGGGACAGATCTAGAAATAAAGAGTAGACTAGACTAGAATTTTAAAAACTAATTTTCACAAAAATATCACATAATATTTTTTCTTCAAATATTCATTGAAGTTGTGCTCGACGAGCTTCTACAAAAAAATCATTATGCTCATTTTGTACCGTACTTGATGTGCTTTCACTACTTTGATGTCGATCTCGTTTCTATATAACATTGATTTTTTCTTTCTTGGCCGAAGGTTGGTACTCTGTGAATTTCTAATAATTCTACAATACAAGTAAATAGATTTTTCATATGACATAATCATTAGCAAAACGAAATGCCTACACATCATAGATTATATCCAACTATGATATACAACAACCACACTAGCGGATAATTTTTTTTTTTAAAAAAAAGCACACACAAACACACATTACTACTTCATACACAATCAACAAAACAAGAATTGCAACAAAATGATCCTAGCAATTATTATTAAAACCTAAATAACTCGAC